TGACTAGGTGCATGAAGATATGTAAAAGAACCAGTACTGAATAGAGACAGGTCATGATCTGAGAGCATATGTTCCACAGAACAACCTCTCCCATCAATATCAGTGCCACCCCAGAGGAGATTTTGTCCATTAAAGTCTCCCAAGATGAAAAAGGGAGATAGCAACTGTTTGAGGATAGCATCAAGGTACGACTAATTATAAGTCTCCCCAGAAGACAGGTAAAGAGAACAGTGATGGTATGAACCAAAAAGATATGAATTGCTATGGCCTCCTAGGGTGTATTGAGTGGCACAGACAAGGTGGGCACATGTACTGGTCGACCAGCAATGCCACCCCTCCATGCACTTGTCCATCCCACAACCTTTCATTCCGATATAAAGAAAACTGCTGAAAGGTGACTGTAAAACACATGGGATGCTAGATATCAATCAATCAATCCAGGTTAGAATGGAAACCTCGACAGATCCACTGTATCAAAGTGACCATTTTTACTTAGGTGGAAAACAAGTAGGCAGAGAACCCTTCTGTTTACAAACACACCATTTTTCTTTATTAGAAGGAGGTCTACTGACCTCCATGGATCCTGCCCCTGGTCATATGGGCAGGTCTCTGTTAGTAGATGTGGATTCCAGCAACTGAGGTCATGAACGAATAATCGTTCTGCATCTTGGAGCTGAAGAAAGACCCGAGCAGACATCAAAAACTGACAGAGAAAGGAGTAGACATGGGCTTGTCGAGTCATTTATCTACAGTGGGCAAAAGATTCTTCATTTGGTGTGAAAAAGACTGATGGAGACAGGGAGCACAGTGCAGCGGCATATGTCCGAGATGCAGCAGGGGACAAGAACTTGTGAGCCTCTGGATAAGAAATGTTATTAACAGTTTTTAAATGCTGTACCTCTTTCTCCTCCACGCATTTAGGGCAAGAACGAAAGTAAGAGGGGTGAGAACCACTACAATTGATGCAGTGAGGGTCCAGTTGACACACATAGGCATCGTGGTCTTTGCCACCACAACGAGGACATCAAAGAACTACTACAAGATGTCTCTGAATGTCCAAACTGCTGATGCTGAAAACACCAAAGAGGGTTAGGAATATAATGGCCATACCCTACTGTTAAGATAACCTGCATTCACATAAGCAGGTGGTCATGGCAATAAAAAGGTCAAAATAAGAGCAGCAATTCCTTTTTTATGAGTGGAGATACATCTCGCTGCAGAAACTCCTTGGCTGGAGAAACAAGCAAGAATCTCCAACTTGGGGATGTTCTTCAAATCCTTCTCAACAATAACTCCTCAAGAGAAATTCAAAGAATCATGGGGAGTAAACTCAACAGGTATATCTCCAATAGCTTTTGAATTCAGGAGTTCACTGTGTTGGTCTAGATGTTTTCACCAGGATGTCTCCAGAATGTAGTTTCTTGACTGACTTTGGAGAACCGGCAAGCCCCTCTAATCCCTTCTGAATAAAAAAAGGGAGACATTTGCCCTAAAGGATTGTCCAAAAAAGTATGCATTATGATAAAATAAGGTACAGGTGCAAAATGGGGTGGAGTGTGCTGTTCAGAGTCTTTGAGACATGGTCGCTTACCTATGAGATGTTTCTTTATTATTTATTTATATTTGGATTTGGGGGAACCACAATATACTCCCACCACGGAGTCCTACAAGAGAATGTATGACAATGCCAAACAAGGACACTGCAGCAATGCCAGGGCTTCATGATTACTATACTCAAACACCAGTGTCAGAAATAAAGTCCACAAAACCCACTGAGAATGCTCAACACTGGTAATCAGTTGACTCTAGCCCAAAAAGGACCAGCCAATTGACCCTGAGGGGGGAGGGGCACCTCAAGACCACCCATCTACAGAAATTCAAGGCCAAAGTGGTGTATTGCAGCGCTCCAGACACCATTCAACCACCAGAATCCTCTCCTCCCCTTCAAAGGATGCCATGTAAGGCAAACATGTGGGTGGATGTTCAGATCCCAAAGGAGGTAAACTGAAAGTACAGAACCTTCTCTGGGAGGTCCCCTCACCAGGTACAGGAATCCACCTTGAGGGGAATGGGAAACAGATGAATGCTTGGACAGATATCATGGTTGCATTATATATAAGATTATTATAAACAATTAATTTTGGCCCTAGCTGAAACATGGATGTTTACTCTTGTCATTAAAATTGTTTATAAATTATTTTACTAAGAGAGTATAAACCAATTCATACATCAACACTTTTTTTTACTTTCACAACAATCCTACTTGCATAATACCTATCAAATAATACAAATTAACTATAATTACTATGTTTTTTATTTATTAGTTTAGACAGCCTACAGCCATATTACTGTTTACTAATTCAATAACAGTTTATTTTTGTTCCCTTTCAGTGAAATAAAATATTGGTATATAGTTATAATTTACTGTCCTTTTTAATTCCTTCCTGTGATACACCACTATATTATTGCACATAAGTGAATATATCATCATCACAACTTCCTTCATCCAAAATGGTAACTCCCTACAAGAAAGCAAAAGTCATGGGAAAATAATCAAGTTCAAAGAAAATTGAGTCTTGTAGGGTAACTTCAAAGTTCAGTCTGGAATAAAACTATGCTAGTTAGGCAATATGGAATTGCAATGTAAAAATTACAGCATCAGCATCTACAATGTGAACAAACATATAAAAATGGTACTGTATGAGCAAAATTTAAAAGCCAGCAGTAGGCAGCCTCAACTGACATTTTTCTTTTGAGACCTTGTTCCAATGTCACATTGACTGAAAGAATGAGTTTGTTGTGCAATCCTATGGGTAATTTTAGAGAATCATTAGTTTTTGTGATTGTAAATACATATAGTCACCCAAATGGGTTGACAGGTATATTACATGCACTTAAGTTTAATGATGAGGAACCACTTTGAGACAAAGTTTCCAGATAGTTTAAATGGGCAATGAAAAAGACTTGTAACAAAATTTTATTCTTTACCCATTCAAGCAATCTCAAAATTTTACATATACTTGATAGAATACAAAGTCTTTTTATTAAACTTATTCAACCCTATCACCACGGGTATACTTTATTGCACATGAAACAAGGTTTTAGCATCTTACATTCAAAATTTTATTAAACTACTTTTTTGTTTATTTTATATCAATTAGAATAGCATAAAATCTTAGCTAATAATCCATATATTAATAGTATATAAGTTTTAAGTTCTTAATTGTACAAGACAACATTTAAAAAAATCCTCAATTTCCACTTGTGTAACTGATGTGACACATCTTCTCTTAGCATGTCATCTTCCCTATTTTATCCACCACCTCCCAAAAAAGTAGGTAATTAAACATAAATTACTCTCTATAAAATATTAATTGTTCAGACAAACAAAAATTTCTATAGTCTTCAATTTTGTTTGGTTACAGAGCTATTGAATAGAAAATCAGACCCCTCCTGCCACGGCTACCTGTCACATCCTCTATTTTAGAATTTGTTAATAACTCTCTCTCTTATGTTTAATTATACATTACCTATAACCAACAGAAAGTCAGGATTTTCATCTATCAAATGTATTTTACAACATTATTTTCTGAACAGTTAAATTTCATTTTCATTCAGAGTAACAACATCGTTCCCGTGAGAAACGACTAGCTTGGATAAATATGTAACGTCTCTCATCACATAGTTTGAAAGCCAGAGAAATTTTGAGAGGTAAGGGAATTTGTCTACTTTTTGCATGTTACTAGTCTATATTCTTTGGCACTTTAATTAATTAAATAAAAATTATTAAGTGCATTACTATCATTAGTATATAAAATTAGGGTTAACTATCATCGATAAGCGACAGCAAGAAAAAGAAAGATTGGTCCAGTATTTTATTTCTTGTTTATTCTTTGGCTAATTATAAAAGTAACTAAAATGTAAAAGTATGGATCCTTTCAGGTTAGTTAACACTAGATTAAGTAAATTAAGTAGTAATAATAATAATATAATCAAATGGTTCAAGAGGCACACATGCAAGCAGCTTGTGGGTAATGTAAATCGAAAGCGTCATGTGAGCTGCACATTCCCTGAGTGTTTTCAACTTATAATGGTGCGGATAGTAGTTATACATGGTTCAAAGGGTAATAAAACAATAAACTTTAATTATAAATAGATGTATACTGTTACGAACTTAGAGCTACTTAGGATAAACAAATGTAGTTTCATGTTACAATTTGAAGTCATTCTAGAAAGAAAAAAAGGATAATTTGGATTTTTTTCTTTTTGGTGGTTACAAGGTCGCTCAAATTGACCGATTCTATATAAACTATAAAGTTTTATTTTAATAATACTTTGAAATGCATTTAGGAAGTTTTAGGGATTACACAAAGGAAATTTGAGATTTTTGAGATTGAGATGAGGAAAAGTATTTTTAATTTTAACATGAAAAATTACTTTTCACATGGACTATTCAAAACAAATACTTAATATATTCATGGACAAATCTTTATTTTATTTTAGTAAACATACTTTACTATGATTTTTTGAATGTGAAACACTTATAATATTAACTGAAAGACTGCCAAATTTTCGAAGACGTACACACTATATTGAAAGTTAGAAGTATTAAATCTATAAAGACTTTAAACTAGTACAAATCGGTCATGTAGTCAGTCCTATTGGCCAAGCCCATGTTGAGAGCATTAAAAAGCATACAATAAAAGGCTTATGAGTGGAAATAATGCAAGAATATTACACCAAAAAGCTGGTAAGCCCAGAAAAAATAAATAAAAACAAAAAATACAAACTGGCCAAAAAACTGTTTTAAGTTTACAAATAGAAAAACTAAAAAACTACAGAAATAAGAAATGATCCATGATTGTTTAGTTTTCCTTGCAAAATTGGATACAAACAAACTAAGAAAAGGCATTTTTTAAATTGATAAAAGAATAAAACAATAATATTGATGTACAAATCAATCTCCATAGAATCCCAAGTACTTTTTAAAAAATCTTTACCTTTGATTCTCTGAATCTTGCAAGTTATTCGACTTAACATAATTTGTCAAGACTTTTCTGATATCACTAGCAGCTACAGCAGCTCCTTTACTAAAATGGAAGAGAAAAATCAGATGTTTTTCACTTAATGTGACATTTTCATATCAGTAATAAAAATCAAATAAATTTACTAATTAAAACTTACAATTATACAATCAGCTGATAAAAAGAGATGCATGTAAATGAAGAAATGAAGGGAATAAAGATACATCTCATGTTGTATACATCACCTGAACCAGGTCTTTCACTTTGATTGGTAAATGGACTGTCTCTATGAGCTGGTAACCCATCTAATGGATGAGAAATGAAGTCCTACTTTGTCATTTTAATAAACAGATCAGGAAGATTCTGTGTGAAGATTTAACCAGAAAATCTTTATATGTAAAAGCAAGGTTCTGGCTGATGCAGAAGAGGTTTTGATGTTAGAAAGAAAACTTAAAAATTACAAATGTAAAAGCTGCAACAGAAGAAACATAGTCTGCGCCAGCCAAAACAAAGTTGCCATAAATTGGGATAGTGGAAAGGGTTTGAAAAACTTATCTAACACATTTATCAAGGCTCCAAGTGAAAAATGAGTAAATAAAAAGTTTCTTATGCAATTCTGGATCAAGGTGTATATATCTAATGTTGCTAGATTCAAGACTCAGCTTAAAAGATTGGTAAAAAGAGACCACTTTGTAGGAAATACTTTCTTTGGGCATGAAAATTGATCTTCTGCAAAATGATAAGCTCAAAGAATGATGGAATTAGTACTTTTCCAAATGACTATTTTAATTTATTTCATGAAAAGAGCTGGTATGTCCCACCCATCTGTTGAGCTACGTAACAATTGTACTTCTGTCTAAATGCACAAAGACACATGAAAAAGTACAGGAAGCTTATACGAAGGTTTTGAGCTACCCACATTCTCAGAACATGATTTTGTAAGTTCTGTTGAAGGCTAAAATATAACAATTTCCCAGAACAGATCTATCATATGTGCTATGGAATATCTGTGAATAATTAAAATTTGGGCTCAGAAATTTCAAAGGAATATGTTGGGTAGTGTTGTTCCTGTAAAGTTTTCAATATTGGTAATGATCCAAAAAGTTCATATCAATTAGTATCGAAAGTGACTATCACCAAAGTTCCAAATAACATAAGGATTTGATCATCAGGAGAAGTCTTGAATTGGAAAACATTTTGGATGAGGAATAGCAAACCATCAACTATAGTGGTGATAAACTGTAGTACCCCCAGACTGGAAAACCTTTTGGATGAGGAATAGCAAACCATCAACTGGAGTAGTGGAAACTGTAGTACCCCCCAGCAGATTAGAATTAATCTAAAACCAAGAAGGATAAGAAACCAAGACAGTTGAAAAGAGGATTTCAGTTTCTGTAAAATGCATAGACAATAAGAAAAGTGTCAACTCCCATAGAGGAATAGATAAGATGAAAGACAAGTTTAACCCTCTTGCCCTGGGTACCCTTTACTGCGCATTACACAAGATTTTAGTGTCTTACATTCAAAATTTTATTAAACCACTTTTTGTTTATGTTATACCAATTAGAATAGCATTATATCTTAGCTAATAATCCATATTTTAATAATATACAAGTTTTAAATTCCTAATTCTACAAGGCAATATTTATGAAAATCCTGAATTTCCACTATCGTGACCCACGTGACACATTTTGTCTTAGCATCTTTATTTTATCCATCATCCCTCAAAAAAGTACGAAATTATATATAATATACTCTCTATAAAATCGTTATTGCTCAAACAAACCATAATTTTTATAGCCTTCAATTTTGTTTGATTACAGAGCTATCAAATAGAAAATCAGACCCCTCCTACCACACCACCTGTCACATTTTGTTGATAGTTCTCTCGTATGTTTCATTATAAATTACATATAACCAATAGAAAGTCAAGATTTTCATCTATCAAATGATGCATTGTATAACGTTCTATTCTGAACAGAATATTGTCAATTTCACTCACAGTATAAGATTTGTTCCTATGGGAAAGTGATCGAGTAGCTTGGATGAATTTATAACAGTCCTTGTCACATAGTTAGAAAACCAGAAAAGTTTTGAGAGGTAAGTGAATTTGTCTCCATTTTGCATGTTTTTAGTCTATATTCTTTGGTGCATTATTTAATTATATAAAAATGACTAAGTGCATTACTATCTATAATCTCAAAAATTAGGGTTAACTCTCTTCGAAACCCGACAGCAAGAAAAAAGATTAGGTACATACTTTATTTCTTGTTTATCATATTTATTCTTAATATACTATTGTAAAAGTAATTAAAATCTAAAAATATGGATCTTTTTAAGTTATTTAAGACTAGATTAGGTAAATTAAGTTGTAATAATAATAATATAATCAAATGGTTCACGAGGCACACATGCAAGCAGCTTATGGGTAATGTAAATCAAAAGCATAATGTGAGCTGCACATTCCCAGAGTGATTTACAACTTATAATGGTGAGAATAGTAGTTAGATACAGTTCAAAGGGCAATAAAACAACAAAAGGTAATAATAAATAGATGAATAATGTTATAAATTAGGTTAATTTAGGTTTATTTCAATTTTTTTTATGGTTACGAGGTCGGTTGAATTGACCGATCCTGTTTTGAGATAGGGTAGAAAAACTAACAGATAAACTATAAAGTTTTAATGAAACAAAACATGTTTGAAATGCATTTAGGAGGTTTTATGGATTACACAAAGGAAATTTGAGATTTTTGAGATGAGGAAAAGTATTTTTAATTTCAACATGAAAATTACTTTGCATATGGACTATTCAAAACAAATACTCAATATATTCATGGACAAACCTTTATTTTATTTTATTAAAAATACTTCACTAAGAAATATGAGTTTTTGTATGTGAAAAACTTGTAATATTAACTGAAAAGCTGCCACATTTCATGAAGATATACCCACTATATTGAAAGTTATAAGTATTAAATCTATAACAAATTTAAAGGAGTACAAATAGATCATGTGAGCAGTCAAATTGACCGAGCCCATTTGAAAGTGTTAACGTGACTATTCAAGGTAGGAGGTAAGTCACAATAAGAAGAAAGGTGGTTGTCATGAATGAATATTTAGAGAAGAAATTGAAAGGAAAGTGATTGTAAAAAACATAAAAAAACAATCATCCTTCTTGGGGAATAAGAAAAAACCTTAAAAGAATGTAAACCTGTTTTTGTTATGAATGAGGAATGAGTCAAAGGCAAAAATATAAGAGCAATGTCTCCAGCAAGAGAAATATGATATAGAGAACAGGTGGCCAAATGTTCTTATGGGAGGCATACAACAGCCCTGAAAACGAAAATAGTCCCAGTCAAGAAAAAGAGGCATTATATGAGGAAAATGAGGTTCCTAAGAACTAGAGAAAGAAAAGAGAGTGACCAGAGAAAATATGAAAGGTTTGAAAAATTTGCACTGTAACAGAATATTGTAGAAATAACCATCAAAAAGTCAGGTAAATAAAGGAAGTAAAATGCAGAACTGTGTCAGACAACCTGGAGAGAGGAAATGAAGAACAGAACAGAACCGATAAATCATCTATCACATGATAAAAATGGGATCATGCCAATCGAGAATTAGGAGGAGATAGAGGACCTCTTTCCATGAACAATATACTGAACCGATACTGATCAAAAAAGAAGAGCCATGCACACTCCAACCTGAGAGCCGAGCATCAAATCTGAACTGTTATTACAAGTAAGCTCCCACGTAGGCTGGTGCCACTCCTACTGACATCTGGGAAAAACATCCATGGACTCGGGTAGAAGTGCCTTCAACTTCACCCTCTTCTCCAATACTCTCAAGAAAAAGCCTTTGTCCACCACCCCAGTGACTGGAAAATGTGTGTGGGAAGGATTCCCTAGCTCCACTAGTAGAATCTGGAGGGTAATGCACACTGGGGAGTCCTGAGTCCTCTGGAAGCAGAGATAAAGAAAGAAGATAGAGAAGCTGGGGCCAGCTGTTACTGAATATCAATGAGAATAGGGAGAGAACTAATGTTAAGCGATTCCAGGGCCAGTAGAGAGCTATGAGGGTCAGTGTAAATAGTACAATCAGTGTACTGCATAGCATCTACATGATCCAGGGCAAAAGAAATAGCATACAACTCTGCAGTGAACACAGAGACTGTTGAGGGGATCCTGCAAACAACTACCGAGCCAAAGGAAGCCCTGGCAGAGCCTACAGAGTCACCTGATTTTGAACCGTCCATGTAAATGAGATCAGAAGGATGGTTAGAAAGTTGTTCTGTAAAGAGAAGATGATACTTCCAATCGGGAATATCCACCTTCCTCAGATGACTCAAGGAAAGGTCACATGTGGAGATAGTAATAAGCCACAGTGGAATGGGCTGATCATTGGGGACAGCAACGTCGTCCAATGCCAGGCCCAAGACATCCAGTTGTGCCCAGATATGAAGGCCAAAAGAAGGAATTGCAGATGCAGACTGTCTATTCTAAAAGAGCATGGCCCACTGAGGAAGAAAGACACAATCCCAGTTGGGATGCTGTGGTAAGGATCAAGGGTTGGTAGCATACTGTAGAGAAAGTTGCAAATGGCAGAGAAGATCCATGGGACTTGGTATACAAACTCTGGATTGAAGAAGTGCGGAAAGCCCCTGTGCAGAGTCAAAGTCCCAGATGGTGAATGGAGTCCAGCATCTTCAAGGCCAAGGTCCTGGCAGAATCATAGACACTTAGTCCAGTTTGGATCAAATGAGGGCACAACAGATCTTGAGCATAGAACACTAATCCCCTCCCCAAGAGATGAAAGAGAGGACACAGAGGATGTTCAATGCCCTTGTACACTTGACACATTGCTGCTATATGTGATGAATGAAAATACCCTTACAGTAAAAAATAAACCCCTAGAACTTTGCCTCAGGAACCACAGGAAGAACAACATCACCAAGACAAAGCTCGGGATTGGGGTGTAGGCCCCGCTGGTGTCAAAAATGCATGCAAACAGTTCTGGAAAAAGAAAAGGTAAAATCATTTGCTGTGGACCACTTCAACAAGCAACTGA